GTTCCAAGCTACCGCTGGTGCAGTGAATATTCACAAAATAGAACGAATTCAGAATCCCCATCTTTACAAGTGTTACACGGTAAGAAAACAGAAGATGGACAAAGACCTTGGAAGAAATAGTGAACGACAGTTGTTTCATGGAACCGATTCTAAAAATGTCGACCACATCAACACTCAAGGATTTAACAGAAGCTTATGTGGGGCCAATGGTAAGTGGTTACACCATATTGCTATGGAAGGGAGTGTGAGCAACGATTTGCAATTTCTCTGATGTTGTACCTTATTAGGAGACAAAAGGCCACCAAGGGAAAAAAAATGTAAAGAAAAATGTTAGCATTTCTATTTACCCACGAACGGTTGAAGGGCTCGTGATAGTAAATGACTGAAGGGCAAATCCAAGAGAAATGATTTTGAGTTCGAAATAATGGAGAATTTGAAGTAACCGAATTAGAGGGGCCCACCTTTATTTATAGTTCTTGCCGCGTTATTCTGCGTAGTCTCACCTTAAATAAAAAAAGAAGAAGAAGAAGAAGAAGTAGCCTTCGGTCTAAATTATCAATCAGATGTAGACTTTTAAAAGATAACCACACTGAGACAGAACTGGAATTTCAAATAAGTTTCATCAGAAGCGCATCTCCTCTCTCTTCTCTCCCTCCTTCAAAAAAATATCCGCCCATTTTTATGATACTTTTTTTTTCATTTTCAGTATACTGTTACTTGCTTGAATCCGTCTTGTGATTCTCGTTTTGTGTTCCTTTTCAGGAGTTCATTATGGACGCGGTGTGTATTTTGCCAGAGACGCTAAATACTCGCTTGGTTTCGCAGTGAACCGGGAGAGGAGGGCAGTAGCCGGGGGCCTCCGCTACATGTTCCTTGCTCGGGTCCTGGTCGGGCAGTATTGTGTAGGCAGATCCTCAATGATCGTGCCTCCCCCAAAGAACCCTTCAACACCAGAGATATTGTATGAATCGGTGGTCGATAATCAAGGAAACCCATCTATTTTTGTTGTATTTTGCGACAATCAGTGTTATCCAGAATACCTTATAACTTTGTAGTAGTAGGGAAATATTTCTTTGTCGATGCCCTTCATAGGAAATGACGTCTACACATGCATTGTTGCGCCACAGAATGTAATAGCTGACGCAAGATGTAATTGTTCTTTAATATGCAATAACTTTACACACAAAATGTAATAAGGAATTCTAAGTCAATATGTACTTACTATAGTGCTTATTAAGCGAGCAGGAGGTTTGTATGGGAGAATCTTGACCGAGGTTTTTTAGTACAGACTTCACTGCGTTCTGTCTGTACTCACGACTGAGGTCAAGATTCCCCCATACAGACCGGCCAAGCTCGATTAATAAGATGTATATTACCTGGCCAAACAAGACTTCGCTGAAAGTCGCTTAATGTAGCCAGTTCGTAATCGCCGCCATTTTTCCTACGAACTGGGATGAAAAATTTGGTGAGAACGAGGTCGAACTTACTGAAAGATGTGTTTCCAGCTTTTGTAGCTTTTTGTATAATTTTATTCCTTTGTATTCTATCTTATTTTATTCTGTTGTATTTTGTCACTATTTTTTGGAGTTTTTAGCGTCTTTTACCATTTCTCCCGTTGAAGACTGTGGTAAAGACAGTCGAAAGCTTGTATTTTTAAATACTCTTAGCCGGAGAACGTTTTTATTTTCACAATTAACATGTTCCTGGTATAATGACTTCTGTTAATCAGAAAGGGTTTGTCTCTTATCCCTTAGGAAAGTTACACAAACGAGTTTGTTCAACGTTATTTTTAACTTTTAACAGAATTTCT